AACTATTGAAAGTTAATTTGCTTAAACATGTGGCTGATTACAGTTTTCAACCCATCAGTCAATCTCAATAACTTCTCTTACTTCAAGTGATGATAGTACTATTATAAGAATAGTTCTAAAGCTGCAACTCATGAAAAGTCATTTGCTTCATTTTCGATGAGTCAAGAGCCATATGGTTCTCTTTAATGAATACAACTCTGGCAACAAAATCTTGGCCCTCCCAGTTACTTGCAATAAAAAAATTTTGCATTTTCCATGGAATCTGAATTACTCACCAAAATGACTAGATATACCTAATATAAATGCATATCAGGCCTAATTTTTCAGCATTTTGCTAGCTTAAAATTTTAACTGATACTACTAGTCATCATTATTCAGAATAACTTCTATTTTTTAATCACAGTGTTCTCTAGATCATTTAGCACACATATACTTTCAAAGCAAGAGCTGTGCAACAAATATCTACTGAAGTCAGTAGATTCCAAAGCAGTTTATCTCTGACAAGCTAAATCCTAATCCAGATGTCATATTTGAGCTCTAGAGCTACAGCTTTTCATGAATGTTACTGACATTCTCACTGAATACAAACATAAAAGGAAACTGCTTATGTTGGGGGTACAGAGTCTAACACATCCAAACGTGAAGTAACACAGAAGAAAACAGAAACCGCTACTATTTAATGAGTCCTTACCATCAGCCAGTCACATTGCTAAGGATTCCATATGCATTATTTATCTGTTAAGATCGCTACATGTAGTACTTAATTCTCAGAGCTATCATTTAAAAAATTTATTATTTATGAGTTTATTACTATGTTGTACATAGGAATAAGCTGAGGCATAAAGAAGCTATGTGACTTGCCAAAAGTTGCAGAGCAAGTAACTGACAGAACCAGGATGTAAATTCAGGTCACCAATTGAAAGCCACTGAACATCACAGATTTTCCTTCAACACATATTCAAAACAACACTATCAGTACCTTCCGGTGATTGTTATTTTTTGGTATGCTAAAAAGATATGGAGTCATGAAGAATTACTGCTTGACTTACTAACCACTTCCATACTCCCAGATACTGAGCAGAAACAGAAATAAGCTTTTTCCTCTGATATCTGCCTTAACCTATAGAGGGAGGTCTAATCTGAGGCTGCAACTTCTTCTAAGACATTCCCCTTCCTACTGCTGCTAACAGAGGCACATCAGCTATGTTGAAAGAAAGAATATTCACTGTCTTAATAAAGGACATTTGCTGTTTCACCTATATAATATTAATCCCAGTGCTGGATCTTCATGCATGATTTCCCCTTTACAACAGCCTTTGCAATTCTAAAAGATTATCAAAATGATATCGTTTTTTCATGAGATGTAACATTTGGAATCTGTACCACCCAACTGAAAACTCACAGTTATTTTTTACTGTTACTCCACAATGTATACCTTCAACTACACTAACTTTGAAGACAGAATCTTTAAATCAACTACCAATAGACTGGACACAGTGGCTCAAGCCTGCAATTCCAGCACTTTGGGCTGCCAAGAGGATCGTTCAAGCCTAAAAGTTCAAAACCAGCCAGGGCAACATAGTGAGACCCCATTGCAACAAAATATTTAAAAAATTACCTGGGTCTGGTGGTATGCAACTGTAGTTCTAGCTACTCAGAAGGCTGAGGCACAAGTATCTCTTCAGCCCAGGAAGTAAAGGCTGCAGTTAGCCATGATCGTGCCACAGCACTTCTGACTAGGCAAGAGTGTGACTCTGTCTCCAAAAAAGAAAAGAAAACACCAATGGTTGCCTATCCTATATCATTCCAGCGTTATACTTGCTAATTGGACCTTCCTCTTGTTTGCATATTAATATGCCTAATTTCCAAGAAGGAATCATAATTGTCCTAACCAATCAGTAATCTCATTCCCCTTTGCCAGTTACCAGTCTTGGGGTGGGCATGTGACCCAGTTATGGCCAGTGACACAAAAGGAAGTCTACTGAGAAGCTTCTAGAAAATTATCCTCTCTGATAAAAGAGCAACGCAAGTAGATCCTTTTTGTGCCCTTGCCCCATCCATCCTTACTGCTTGGCACTCTCTCCTAGTAAAGACCAGGAGTAAAGACATCACGAGCACTTGATGGCAGTATGGAAAGACAGAAGGAGTCAGCTCCTCCTATGTCTTTCTACTTCCTGGAGTTAATTTTCTGCCTCACCTAAAGGGCTAAAGAGCTATTTAAACACAGAAGAAAATGGATATGCTATTAATTTCACCTGATGTTTCAAATGATGAATATATGTTTGTTTATAATTTTGTCATTAAAATTAGAAAAAAAATCTGTGATGAAGAGAGCAAATGACCAGTAACAGCAAAATATTGTATTTTAAACCAGTAAATATCCAAGGGAGCTAGACCTTGAAGTGTCAAGGTTCTGAAAAGAAGTGAAATAAAGAAAGGTAAAACCCAACGGTCTTAATCACTTTTATTCTTGAGCCATTTCCTGGTGAGAAAATGGTGAGGAAGCAGAGAGGGATAAAAAGAGGTAAAGTATTCTGAAGTCCCTGCATTTTCCATGAAGTGGCAAAAGTACTAATGCCTAGAACCAATAAATCAAGGATACGTGTAATAATCTCTAGGGTAGCCTACTGAACAAAAAATAGGGGAATGTATAAAAAGGTGTTGAAGGTAACAGAAATAAAGGGAGAGGAAAAACTAGATATGACAAACAGAAGGCAAATAGAGGATGGTCTGAAACCAAACATATTGGTGATTATGTTAAATGCAAACAGACTATAAATCAATAAAAACCAGACAAATTTAAAAATCAAAATCAAAAATCAAAACTCATATATATGCTGGGCATTGGCATTTGGATAAAACAAATACTTCAGTGTAACACAGTAGGAAGTCCAGAAACAGACCTACAAAAACATAGCCACTTGATATATGACAAAGACGTCACAAAAATAAAACTTCTAGGAGAAAATAGCAGAATATCTTTGTGACCTTGAGGTATGGGAAGACTTGTTAAACAGAACAAAGAAACACTAAGAGTAAAGGTAAAGAAAAAGGTTTTTTGGTGGTGGTGGTGGTGCTGTTTGTTTTTTGAGACAGGGTTTTGCTCTGGTGCCTAGCAGGAGTGCAGTGGTGCAATCATGGCTCACTGCTGTCTCAAACTGCTGAGCTCAAGCCATCCTCCAGCTTCAGCCCCAGTAGCTAGGACTACAGGCACATGCCACAGCACCGAACTAATTTTTTTTTCTTTTGCATTTTTATTGTAGAGACAGAGTCTTGCTTTGGTGCCCAGGCTGGTCTCAAACTCCAGGCCTCAAACAATCCTCCCGCCCCAGCCTTCCAAAGTGCTGGGATTGCAGGCATGAGTGACTGAGACCGGCTTAGAATTAAAAAAAAGAGGAGCTGGATTTCATTAGAATCGATGATATCTTCACCAGAAGATTCCTTTAAGAGAGTAAAAAGACATACCACAGAATGAGAGAGAACTGCAATACTGTACACGTACATGAGAAAAGATTCATAATCAGAATGCATAACGAACGCCTAAAAAACAGGGAAAAAGACTGAAAAGATGCTTTAAAAGAAGCAATCTGAAAAGCCAATAAACACACAAAAAGGCATTTAAACTTTTTAAACTCATAAATCATCAAGTAAATATAAATTAAACCAAAATGAGAGACTACTGCAACCTACAGTAGAATAGCCAAATTTTTTAAAACTGATACCATGTATTGGTGAAGATGTGGAGTAACTAGAAATCTCACACATTGCTAGTAGAAATGTAATTGCTATATCCACTTTCAAAATATCTT